GGCGGGGGAGCAGCTCCGCACCCCGCACCTTCCCGCCCTCCCTCGCCGCGGGCTCGCGCGGCTCTTCTCGGTCCAGCGTCGCCTCCGGTGCGCCCGCTCTCCCGTTTCACTGCCGCCCAAGAACTGAGGAGGGCGCCTGGCACACGAGGGCGCCAGTTACTGAAGAAAATGGAAGGGACCGGCTCGGAGCCCTGGGTTTGGGGAGGGGGCCCCGGAGCTCCTTTGGAGGCCTCCACGCCCTCTTCTGTTAATTTTGGAGACCAGCCTGAGAAAACTGCGTTTCCCTGTAAGAGTTTACAGCCCGAAACAGGACTGCTGCTGTCGGACTCAATTCTTGAACCACTTATGAAACGTGAGAAGTGCAGTTGTACATTTAATTGCCACTTTCTGTTAGAGCTTTTCAGAAAACTGCAGGGGTCGAGTCTGGCCCGTGGCTGGGCTCCGCGGCCCCGCCCTGTAGGTGCCCCGACAGGCTCAGGCCAGAGCACCGGTGGTCGTCTCAAATTTCTGAGGGGCCAGCCGGGCTTGAGCGCCTGCTCTTCTTGGGGTTCTTGCCCTGACTTCTACACTCCCTGGTGACTCCTGCACCGGCCTGTGGGTTTACTTCATAGTCCAGGGACCCGAGACCACCTGCCGGTGCGACCTCTTCAAGCCCTGCCGCACTCCTTTTGGCTCCCAGGACAGGACATTTCCTAGCAGCTGCCCCAGGTAGGTTTCTAGGCCACACTTGTCCCCTGTACTGGCTATATCTGAGCAAGGCCTGAGATGTGATGTCTGAAATCTGAACAATCCCACTAATTATTATAACTAGCGGGGCACAAGGTAAACTTAGTTTCACTGAAATGCCCCAGAGTAGGTCTGCAAAATAAATTTTTTTTTCTTTTTTGACCCTCACCTGAGGATATTTTTTTCCATTGCTTTTCAGAGAGAGTGGAAGGGAGAGAAGAGAGAGAGAAACATCGGTTGGTTGTCTCCTGCATGCGCCCTGGCCCTGGGGATCAAGCCTGCAACTGAGATATGTGCCCTTAGCCAGAATTGAACCTGGGACCCTTCAGTCTGCAGGCTGGCACTCTAGCCACTGACCCAAACAGACTAGGGCAGTCTGCAAAAAATCTGTGATGGTAACAGCCGTTGGGTTTAGGGGCAGAATGAAGATCATTTATGCTGGTGTGATGGAGGGGATTTATAGTGGAGGGGGCTTAGCTTTGGCCAGGGGGCAAAGGATCGTCTCCATCTGGGGGTGGGGAGGATAGTTTCCCCAACGCTGGAGGGGAGGAGTTTGACATGTAGATATGCAGGATAGGTCTCAATCTTTATGGGCAAATTGTATAATATGTGAACTGATATATCAGTAAAACTAGTTTAAAATTGAGGGGGCTAGCCCTGGCCAGGTGGCTCAGTTGGTTGGAGTGTCGTCCTGTGTGCCAAAAAGGTTGCCGGTTCATTTCCTGGTCAGGGCACATACCTAAGTTTTGGGTTCGATCATTGGTCCAGACACATACAGAAGACAGTCGATCGATGTTTCTTGCACACATAGATGTTTTTCTTTCTCTCTCCCTCTCCCTTCCTCTCTCTCTAAAAATCAATAAAACATATACCTGGGTGAGGATTTTAAAAAATGAGGGGGCTAGAAGCCTCCGCTCAACTTAGCTACCCCAAGGTGGCCTCAAGAGGCCAGGCAGAAAGTATATCTTGATCTGCTCAGGCTCGAACTATTGGTCCAGCCATCCCTGTAGGAGTGCCTATGTGACTGGGTCCCTAGAGATCCTCAGGCTCTAGTCCTAATATTATGCCTCACCTCTGGTGTGCCTGCTCTCACATTTTGTCAATTGTTTCATCATCATCATTAACGAGTATTTACCGTGCGCTTCCCATGTGCAATACTAGAGTTTGCATGTGTGGTGGGGGTGTACTCAGGGGCCAGCTGAGGATCCGTGGAGGGCCACGGCTCCTGTGGCCGGGTCGGCAGGCTGGCCTGTGCAGCTGCTGTGGGGCCTTGACTGTGTGTGGGCACCCATTTACCTGAGCTGGAACAGGTGCAGAGGTCGGCTTCTGCTCTGGACTTGCCCACAGGTTTGCCCAAAGTCAACCAGCCGGCCATTGGGTAGGAGCATGTGTGGTTTCCACCAAGTGCATAGAGCTGCCTGTCCTCTCCTGTGGGTTGGTGTTAGCTTCACCCTCTAAGGGATTGGCCCTGTGTTAGTGTCCTGGAACTGCTGTAACAAAGGACCACAAACTGTGTGTGTGTGTGTATGTTAAAACAACAGAAATTAATTCTCTCAGTTCTGGAGGCCAGAAGTCTGAAATCATGGTGTGGGCAGATTTGTGCCCCCTCTAAAGGATCCAGGGAAGGATCATTTGCCGTGTCCAGCTTCTGGGGCCTCCAAGGTGGTCCTGGGCTTGGCACAGTATCACTCTTGTCTCTGACTTCATGGTCATACAGCTCCTGTGTGTCTTCTCCCATCTTTTATAAGGACATTTGTTATTGGGTTTAGCGCCCAGTCTAATCCAAAATGACCTCATCTAGAGATTCTTAGCTTAATTACAGCTGCAAAAACTTTTTTTCCAAATAAGGTCCCATTCATAGGTTCTGGTTGGACATCATTTGAGGGGCTCCCATTCAGCCCACCACAGCCACATATCTAGATGTTTATGGGATCCTCAGGGGCTGGAGGACAGCTACATAATGGGATGCATCTCACCAGGTTGTAGCCCACCTCCCACATGGACTGGGCTGGCCCTCAGGGGACTTGATGGGGTGGAGGGGCCTCAGTCCAGGCCATGCCTACGCGAACCCCACGGGCTGTGCTGCAGAGCTGAGGCTGGGCTAGCAGGTGTCTTTCTGGGGCAGCTAGCCTGTGTGGGGCCAAGTAAAAGGTATTTTGTATTTTCCAAAATAAATGTAAATTTTTCCTAACTTGGGATTTCAGAATATGTATTGCATTTTCCGATGTTACTGTGTTGTGGGGTCAAGGCCCCCAAAGAAATTGAACAGAAGTGGGATTTGCTCTGCATGGCGGAACTGTTGGATTGTGCATCCAGGGTGAGGCCCACAGGACCCACCAAGAGGCCCCCCCATCAGGCACAGATTGGGAAGGAGTGGCCAGGGACCATGGGGGCGAGAGCTGCTTTCTGCTGCCCCCAGCACTGTGGGATCAGCTACTGAGAACTGCCCATATTAAGTTTGGGGGCCCAGGAACTGCCAGGTGGGAGGAGTGGGGAGGGGGCTGGATCCATGAGCCCCTGCCTGTGTGGACACAGTTGTGTGGAACAGAGGACAGGTTTCCCAGGGGCCTGGCTCAGGCAACTCTTTGAGTACAGGTCCCGCCTCCTACCCAACTAGTGATTCTCACCTCCCAAACCCACTCCCAGGCTTTTTATAAACCAGGGACTATTTAGTTTGTCAGTGTGGATGGTCAGCTGGGGATCTCCTTACAACAAGGGGATCTCACCCTCAGGTCTTCTGGATGATTTCCCCCTGAGCCTGAGCCCCGCCCCCCCACTCGCCCCCTGGTTTTACAAGCAAGATCTGCATCCCAGAAATAGTGTTTTACTTGGGGAATTACTGAGGGCAATGAGCACATTATTAGAGCCATAATCAACACGTGGCACCTTCCCACCGGGGCTGCCACATCTTGTCAACAGGTGTGATCGGGTAACAGCCCTGGGAGGTCTGGCACAGAGCGCAATTAGTAGCTAATGAGGAGGCTCGCCCTGGGCCAGGAGTTGGGAGAGGAGGAGGGTCAGAGAGAGCTCCGGTGGCCCGGCCCGTCAGTGATCCTCCCTCTGCTCCTACCCAGGCAGTGCTGCAGGGAGCAGCAGAAAGAGCAGGTCATGGAGAGGGCCTCACTGTGTGCTGGGGATGTTCAAGAGCTTTGGGAGAACAGGTGCTCTGCACACTTGTCCACAGGCATGTGAGGTTGGCCCTGCCCTGGCCCCTTGGGCAAGCAGGGGACACAGAGACCATAACTCTGTGGTCAGTGGGGACAGGGGACCAAGCAGTACCAGTGGGCAGGCTGAGAGCAGAAACCTCCTTCTTTGCCTGACCACGTGCTGGAGGGAGAATGCCAGGAGGGTCTGGGGCACAGCAGTTCCACCCTCTGTCCATGGGCCCCCTGGTCTGCTTTCTTGGGGGAACAGGCGCAAAGCTGGTCGGGGCTGAGCCTCAGTTACAGATCAGCAGGCTTATGCAGGGTAACTCTCTCCAGGGGACTTGCTCAACCTGCCTGTCTGGGGTAAGTGGCAGCAGGTTAACTGTTTTGGGGCATTTCTGCCAGCCCACCATGTTAGAACATCAAGGCTGGCTTGCCAGTGGTCCCTGAGGTACCTCTCCACTCACACTTTGTACTCAGCCCCTCAGGTCATCAAGGGGACCATTTGGGCGTCTGAGGAAGCATGTGCCTTGTGACAGAATCATGGGGTGGCTGGGTGAGGGGAGATCCCCATGGCAGCCCCTAGCTCCAGGGCCTCTGCATAGGCCCAGGAACCTGGGAGCCTCTAGGTCACTGGCAGCCTGGCTGGTTTTCTCTGTGTGATATTTTTACTGGTTTGTGAAGGTCATGCCTGGCCTGCTGCCAGTGAGAGGGTCACCCTGGAAATTGTGCATTTGGCCCCCAGCGGCTCTGCTTTGGAAGCTCCCAGCTTGTGAGATCGTGGGCCCTTCCCAGGGGACCCAACCCTAGGTTTCCTCTCTACCCTTGACAGTCTCTTTTGGGGCTGCCCCCCAACTCACACAGTTCAGCCGCAGCAGCTAGGAGTAGGCTAGGGACCCCCTGAACCCTGCTGAAGAGGAGGTCTTTCTCATGCTGGGGGTTCTGGGAACTCTAGAAGATGGAGCCAGATGCCTTGGTATGGGCAGGGGGATAGGAAGCCCCTCTGTGTGCCCGGGGTGGGGTCCTCCCACTGCTCCAGCCTCAGACTTGCTGAAGTCCTGGCTCTCTCTCCATCTCTGGTCTCTGTTTCCCTTCCGTGGAGGGTATGGAGCTGGCGACCTGGCGCAACCTCCTGCCCTGGGCAGTCCTCACACACCTCCTGGGTCAGCCCCTGTGCTCCAGTCCTGACCTCCTCTGGGGACCTCGGCACTGCAGGGGGTGGTGGTCAGGGCAGTGAGGAAGGTGTGTTTGTGAGTATATATGGCATGCATTCTCTCAGAGGTGGGAGCATGCCAGGAGCCAGAGGACACTGGGGAAGCAAAGTCACCCTCCAATGACCACCAGGGTCAGCCCTGGCCAAGGCCTGGTCAGGCACTTTCTGAAGCTGCCCTGGAGCTAGATAAGGTTTTCATAGGCATCAAGGGGGCTTAAGAAGGACTACCACATGGGGTTGGCAGTGTCAGGTGGGGTACAGGCCAAGCCTGGGGGCAGGGTGGGAGGGGTTGGGTGAGCCACCGCAGGTGCCCTGGCCAGAGTGGCCTCAGATCACCCAAGAGACCTGTTATGCCGAGGCCAGGGGCTAACCCTGAGGTCCACCAGGGGAGCTCCATGGAGAGCTAGTCTAGGACCTGGCCATGTATAGCTCCCTGAGGCTATGGGGAAGGCGGCCAGCTGGGCTGGCATGAATCTATCCAAGACCTGGGCCTGGGGCAGGCACTGCCCCTCAGCTTGGCCATACCCCAGCCCTGACATCTGGTGTTTGTCCTCCCAGCAGTCCATGAGCTACCTGTCCCTCTCCAAGGCACCTACCCCCATCCAGTTTCCTCTCCCCTAACC